CCTGACCTGGAATTGAACCTGACCTCCTGGTTCATATGTGGACACCCAACCCCTGAGTTACATCAGGTGGTCTAGTCTGGGACCTTGTACAGGGCTTGATTTAACTGGAAAAGGGACAAGGAACTTGGGATCAGAATGTACAGAAGGGCTTATAAATACTCAAGACACTTTTCAGTATGAGGCAAAAAGTTTCTCAAATATTTTCTTGATAAGACTAAGGAAAAAATGGAAGTTTGACAATCTTTTTAGAGTGAGAATGTGTAAGCCCTTTGATCCTCTATCTGTGCAGGACTATGTGGCTCTTAGGGAGGTGATGATCAAAGCTGAATATCAGAAGTTGCATCTATTTCTCTGTGAGGAGGAGCGACTCTATGTTGATACAATGGAGAGAGAAGCAGAGATCTTCCAACAACTGCAGGAAAGCAAAGTCAGAATGACCCAACAGACAGGAAGCCTCAAAGAGATGTTTAGAGAGCAGATGGACATGTGCCACAAGCCAGATGTGGAGATGCTTCAGGTGAGAGGGCAGGGTCCCTAAATAGAGACAGGAATCCTTTTCCGGACAATGTGGCTATGATGCCTGCATACACCATTACCCTCAGCTAAGTGATTCTGCTCCTGGACTCCCATCATGGTGTCCATCCAGTCAGGCACTTATTTTCTTGTATCCTGGTAATCTTTGGGAGCTCTTTGCCTAAGTAGCTGACATAGGATAAGGTGATTTCAGTGTAATCTGAAGCACCACCTCCACAGACAGATTGTCCAAATTCAGTCAATCTCTCAGCATGGCAACATTAACTTTGCTGTTACAATTTTCTGTTTACATTCACCTAATCTTCTGTCACTCTCTGTTACTGCCATAAAAGTAACTTCCTAATGACATAGAGGTTTTGACCCTTGCCTAGGCATGATTTCTAGAATTTGGCAATCAATTTTAAAGCTCTCTCTGTTTTTCATTGGATGCCCTGTTTTGCTTTCATTGTTATAAATGGTCATATCTCTCCTTGGGAATAACACTTAGAAATTAGTTACATTGGAAACCTAGATCTCATTGCATCATTCCCTTCTCTGCCTAAACTTCTGCCATGCTCAGAACACCTTGAGGAAGCTCTGTCTGTTTTAGTTTAAGTGCTATTATTAAGATGACCTCTGGTTGTTTCTTAAAGGGGAATAGGAAAAAGTACATTATTACAACAAACTCGAGAAAGTATATAAAAGGACACACTTTGCAATTTTACTTTCTTTTTCTGTTTGTTTTGCAGGATTTGGGAACTGTGTTGGAAAGGTGACCTTACACTAATTCTTTCTGAGAAAGTCATTCTCTTCTGGATGAGGGAGCTGTACATGTTTGGAGCTAGAAACCTTGTCCTCTGTAGGTATTTCCTGTTTTCTCTAAAAAGTGGCCCTGAGGCCTTCTGGTCTCAGAAGTTTCCTTTCCATGGGCCTGAATTCATATGTACCTGAAAACATCTGATCCCTTAGTTTTCTTCCAGCACATCACCCTTATCCTCTCCCTATTTAGCACAATAAACATCACAGGAGTGATTCTTAAGGAATCACAGAAAAGGTACCTACACTGCACAGGTGGAAGGTGAAAAGATTAGGAACAGGAGCTTTGCTATGAATGTATGGGGGTTGATTTTGTTCCCAGGACTAGCAATGACTCAGCCTGTCCCATCACTGCAGGTCAGACCTCAGGGAATGAACTCTTGTTGCCCCATAAAAGTTAGACCTTTAGAAGCAGGCTGCCATGCAGGAGTTAGGTTTCCTTGCTTGAGAATAAAAATGGGGAGAGCTGTCTGTGTTTGTGGACTCTCCCTTTCAGACACTGAATGTCTCATTGGTGACGACTTTGAGACTCAAGTCCCAAAGGGTCTGCCTGGATGTTCTGCTCCCTGTCAGATACCCAAGGGTTTGCATCCCCTGAGATGGAGCAGATGGAGGAACTGATTGTCAATCATTTTAGAAATGCAATAATATCTGAGGAGAATGGGGAAGCTGATATGTGATAAATTTATAAATTTAGAAAAAAATTAAGGTAACATTTCCTATATCCCTAAGAGGGTAGACTATCATGTATACCCCATTAGCTCAGAGTGGGAGGATCCTGATGAAATATCCTGAATGAAAAGCTATGATATTTAGAGTGGTTGTGTGACTAACCTTTGCCTCAAAATGCCACTTACATCATTGTTAATAGGACTGAATTGTTCAGAATCAATATCCTCATCTAGAGAAACCTGAGCTTACCTCATGGTGCTGCACTAAACTCCTAGACATGCTGAACAGTTTCAGAGGTCAGAGCTTGTCCTGTGGCATTAGGCCTCAATTTATTTGTGATTCTTAGGTTTATAGGTTCTTTTTCTATTTTAATTGTTTCTTTTCTGTCATGAAGGCAGTCCATCACTTTCCAAACTCAGTATCTTCTTCCCTTGTGAAGTCACATCACAATGAACTTTGCAACTTATTGAAAATACAAAGCAAGAAAGCTATTTGTATTGATGTTTGGTATACATAGAGGAAGAGAAGAGCAATGAGGTTGACCATGTGGGCACAAGGAGATAGAATATTTCGTACTCAGAGTAGCCATCAATATTATATATTTTATCAGGTACTCCACTTTTGAATTTTAAATACGACACTGATAGATTTAAATCTGTTGTATATTGTAAGCGCATAGATCATGCATTTCACTAAGAATATTTATTATTTATGAAATCAGAAAGTCCAAAAAGGGACTGAAAATGTTATAAGCAGAATAATCCCTCACCGTTCTGGCCTCATGAGTTTCTCACGCAACTACCCCCCGCAACTACCCCCTCAGCCCCTGCCTAACCTCCTCAGCCTTCCCTCTTAGGTTTGATGGTCTGTTCCATGCTTCGCTGTCTCTAAACCTGTCTTTGTTAATCTGTTTATGTTGTTCATTATATTCCACAAATGTGTGAGATCATGTGATACTGGTCTTTCTCTGACTGGCTTATTTAGTTTAGCAAAATGCTATCCAGGTTCATCCATGCTGTTGCAGATGGTAAGAGTTCTTTCTATTGTAAGCAGCATAGTATTCCATTATGTAGATATGCCATGGTTTTCTAATCCACTCATCTGCTGCTGGGAACTTAGGCTGTTTCCAAATCTTAGCTATTGTAAATTGTGCTGCTATGAACATAGTGGTGCTTATATTCTTTTTGATTGGTGTTTCATGTTTCTTGGGATATATTTCTAATAGTGGGATTACTGGAGTTTCTTCAAACAAATTAAAAATTGAGCTCCCATTTGTCCCAGAAAAACCTCTGAATATTGTAAATGGAATCCCAAGTGTGCTAAAGAGCAGTACGTGCATCGCAGCCCTATTGGGAACTGTGGTAGGGGTTACTGTCCTCTGAAGAGATATAGCATCTGAAGAGGCGGTAACATATTTCCCAGAAAAATGTTCACCTGAAACCCAGTTCTGATAGAGTTTGAGGCTGCTGCCTTCAGGCAGTTGCTACCAGCATAATGAGAAAGCCACGTTGATAACTGGCTTAGGGCTGGGTCTGTTCTGGATGTTCCAGACAGCATGGCTCCTATTAGCTGAACATCAGATGACCAGGTGAGCCTGATGGGGGCTGCTTTTCATAACTGGCTGTTCACATCTCTCTCTACATGCCCAAAGAGTCCTGAAAGCAATTTGGTAACTTGTTCACCTTCTGCTAGAAACACTCGCCAACTCTTCCCTCTAATCATACTGATGTCAACGAGAATTCATCAGTGGTTGCTAATAGCAAAGTCAGGCAGCTCTGCTCAGGATGTGGAGGTGCCAAACTGTGAAAGGAGCCTTGCACTGGTCATGTTAAAATCCTTGTTGTAGTTCAAATGGCTGTGTTGCTGCTTCTGCCCTGGGTTCTCACAGCATCCCCACTCTGTCCCCACCCTGCCATGGGAAGTCAACTGAAGGTCCCTTTTTAGTGAACTGAAATCTAAGGGAAACTCTAAGCATTACATTACAGAGCATTAGTGTTCTTTGGAAATAGTTTTTGGTCCTTCTGTTTTTTATTTTTAAAGTGTCTGATATTTGAAATACTAGTATTTTCTTCTTTCTGCCTAACAAATAATACCTTTTTTCAAGATCCTATTAGATTTTCCCTTTTAAATTTTTATCTTTACATGTTGTTGTAGTTACTCTGCTACCTAGAAAAACTTAGTTAGGATGGCTTACTGTCTGTATTTATTATTTGAAGAAGGAATAAGATTGCAGGGCCCAGGTTTTAAAATTTTAAAATGCTATATGAGGCAATCACAAATTCAGGAATTAATACTGCAAGGGAAGGTTGGACAAGTCCCTGTAAGAGACAGCACCATGTAATAGACTGCCCACATAATACTTGATATGGTCTAAAAAATGAGAACAGTAGACATTTCGTTCTCTATACCTTATGTAAATGACTTGCAACCTATTGAGAAATGTTTGTGGCATTTCCCCACATTAACTTATTAAATGTCCTCATATACACATTTACATGTATCTTCTTAAAAAATATATATTTTATTGATTTTTTACAGAGAGGAAGAGAGAGCGATAGAGAGTTGGAAACATCGATGAGATAGAATCATCAATCAGCTGCCTCCTGCACACCAACTACTGGGAAGGTACCTGCAACCAAGGTACATGCCCTTGACCTGAAGCAAACCTGGGATCCTTTATTCCCAAGGCCAACACTCTGTCCACTGAGCAAAACCTATTAGGGCCATGTATCTTAATAGGATATGCCCTATTCCCTTTCTTTTCCTTGGTCTCCTCAGCAAACAGTGCCTGAAATGCCATTGCTGATCAATGAACCTTGGGTTAATTTATATTTCTATAATCTGATTAAGAGATCAGCTGCTTCAACTCTTTCTAGGATATGTGGGCTTTGTTGACTTTGATGGCTTTTATTATTTGTTTTTCAATAGATTTTCAAAGGTGATATTTAATTAATTATTTATTTATTTATTTATTTATTTATTTATTTATTTATTTATTTAAAAATATGGAATGCTTCAGGAATTTGCATGTCTTCCTTGCCCAGGGTTCATGCTCATCTTCTTTATTTAGTTCCAATTTCAGTATATGTGCTGCCAAAGCGAGCACAGGTGAGTTTTATTTAGATTTTTACTTTTCATGTTTCTTGCAAGGTTAGATTACTTTCATAAAATCGAGCTAAATTCTCAAAGATTTGATCATTTAGGGAAACAACTTACATGGCCGGGGAATCACTGATTTCCTAACTTGTGATAGGTGGCAACAAAATACAAATAACATGGCATCTCTGTTAAAAATGATTTTCTACAACATCAATAAGATGGTCACTACAGTTAATTACACTGTATTCCATATTTGAAAGTTTCATGAATCTCATTTCAAAACATATTTACAGTCTTTTAGGCTGTTAGCCCCCATGGTTGTTTTCTATAAGTTCTAGACTTATTGATTTCAGACAGGAAGGGAGAAAGAAAGAGAAATATCAATGATGAGAGGGAATCATTCATCAGCTTCCTTCCTTATATCCCCTGCAGGGGATTCAGCCCTAAAGCCCAGTATGAGTCCTGACCTGGAATTGAACCTGACCTCCTGGTTCATAGGTGGACACCCAACCCTTGAGTCACATCAGGTGGGCTAGTCTGGGACCTTGTAGAAGGCTTGATTTAACTGGAAAAGGGACCAGGAACATGGGGTCAGAATGTACAGAAGGGCTTATAAATACTCAAGACACTTTTCAGTATGAGGCAAAAAGTTTCTCAAATATTTTCTTGATAAGACTAAGGAAAAAATGGAAGTTTGACAATCTTTTTAGAGTGAGAATGTGTAAGCCCTTTGATCCTCTATCTGTGCAGGACTATGTGGCTCTTAGGGAGGTGATGATCAAAGCTGAATATCAGAAGTTGCATCTATTTCTCTGTGAGGAGGAGCGACTCTATGTTGATACAATGGAGAGAGAAGCAGAGGAGATCTTCCAACAACTGCAGGAAAGCAAAGTCAGAATGACCCAACAGACAGAAAGCCTCAAAGAGATGTTTAGAGAGCAGATGGACATGTGCAACAAGCCAGATGTGGAGATGCTCCAGGTGAGAGGGGAGGGTCTATCAAGAGACAGGAATCCTTTTCTGGACAATGTGGCTATGATGCCTGCATACACCATTACCCTAAGCTAAGTGATTCTACTCCTGGACTCCCATCATGGTGTCCATCCATTCAGGCACTTATTTTCTTGTATTCTGGTAATCTTTGGATGCTCTTTGCCTAAGTAGCTGACATAGGATAAGGTGATTTCAGTGTAATCTGAAGCACTACCTCCACTGACAGATTGTCCAAATTCAGTCAATCTCTCAGCATGGCAACATTAACTTTGCTGTTACAATTTTCTGTTTATATTCACCTAATCTACTGTCACTCTCTGTTACTGCCATAAAAGCAACTGGCTAAAGACATTTATGTTTTAACCCTTGCCTAGGCATGATTTATAGAATTTGGCAATCAATTTTAAAGCTCTCCCTGTTTTTCATTTGATGCCCTGTTTTGCTTTCATTGTTAAAAATGGTCTGATCTCTCCTTGGGAATAACACTTGGAAATTAGTGACATTGGAAACCTAGATCTCATTGCATCATTCCCTTCTCTGCCTGACCTTCTGCCATGCTCAGAACACCTTGAGGAAGCTCTGTGTGTTTTAGTTTAAGTGCTGTTATTAAGATGGCCTCTGGTTGTTCCTTAAAGGGGAATAAAAAAAGGTACATTATTAAAACAAACTCGAGAAAAGATATAAAAGGACATACTTAGCATGTTTACACTCTTTTTCTGTTCGTTTTGCAGGATTTGTGAACTGTGTCGGAAAGTGGAGCTTACACTAATTCTTTCTGAGAAAGTCATTCTCTTCTGGATGAGGGAGCTGTACATGTTTGGAGCTAGAAACCTTGTCCTCTGTAGTTATTTCCTGTTTTCTTTCAAAAGTGGCCCTGAGGCCTTCTGGTCTCAGAAGTTTCCTTTCCATGTGCCTGAATTCATATGTACCTGAAAACATCTGAACTCTGGGTTTTCTTCCAGCGCGTCACCCTTATCCTCTCCCTATTTAGCACCATAACCATCACAGGAGTGATTCTTAAGGAATCACAGAAAAGGTACCTCCACTGCACAGGTGGAAGGTGAAAGGATCAGGAACAGGAGCTTTGCTATGAATGTATGGGGGTTGATTTGTTCCTAGGACTAGCAATGACTCAGTCTGTTCCTTCACTGCAGGTCAAACCTCAGGGGAATGACCTCTTGGTGCCCCCTAAAAAGTTAGACCTTCAGGAGCAGGCTGCCAGGCAGGAGTTACATTTCCTTGCTTGAGAAAAAAAAGGGGGAGAGCTGTCTGTGTTTGTGGACTCTCCCCTTTCAAACACTGAATGTCTCATTGGTGACGACTCTGAGACTCAAGTCCCAAAGGCTCTGCCTGGATGTTCTGCTCCCTGTCAGATACCCAGGGGTTTGCATCCCCTGAGATGGAGCAGATGGAGGAACTGATTGTCCATCATTTTAGAAATGCAATAATATCTGAGGAGAATGGGGAAGCTGATATGTGATAAAATTTATAAATTTTTTAGAAAAAAAGTAAAGCAACATTGCTTATATCCCTAAGAGGGTAGACTATCATGTATACCCCATTCGCTCAGAGTAGAAGGATCCTTATGAAATATCCTGAATGAAAAGCTATGATATTTAGAGTGGTTGTGTGACTAACCTTTGCCTCAAAATGACACTGATGTCATTGTTTATAGGACTGAATTGGTGCTGAATGAAAAGCCTCAGCCAGAGAATCCTGAGATCACCTCGTGGTGCTGCACTAAACTCCTAGACATGCTGAACAGTTTCAGAGGTCAGAGCTTGTCCTGTGGCATTAGGCCTCAATTTATTTGTGATTCTTAGATTTATATGTTCTTTTTCTATTTTAATTGTATCTTTTCTGTCATGAAGGCAGTCCATCACTTTCCAAACGCAGTATCTTCTTCCCTTGTCAAGTCACATCACAATGAACTTTGCATCTTATTGAAAATACAAAGCAAGAAAGCTATTTTATTGATGTTTGGTATACATAGAGGAAGAGAAGAGCAATGAGGTTGACCATGTGGGCACGAGGAGATAGAATATTTAGTACTCAGAGTAGCCATCAATATTATATATTTTATCAGGTACTCCACTTTTGAATGTTTAAATACGACATGGATAGATTTAAATCTGTTGTATATTGTAAGTGCATAGATCATGCATTTCACTAAGAATATTTATTATTTATGAAATCAGAAAGTCCAAAAAGGGACTGAAAATGTTATAAGCAGATAATCCCTCACCATTCTGGCCTCATGAGTTCCTCCCCCAACTGCCCCCTCACCCCCTGCCTAACCTCCTCAGCCTTCCCTCTTAGGTTTGATGGTCTTGTTCAATGCTTCTGTGTCACTAGACCTATCTTTGTTAATCTGTTTATGTTGTTCATTAAATTCCACAAATGTGTGAGATCATGTGATACTGATCTTTCTCTGACTGGCTTATTTCGTTTAGCATAAAGCTCTCCAGGTTCATCCACGCTGCTGTAGATGGAAAGAGTTCTTTCTATTGTGAGCAGCATAGTATTCCATTATGTAGATGTACCATGGTTTTCTAATCCACTCACCTACTGCTAGGAACTTAGGCTGTTTCTAAATCTTAGCTATTGTAAATTGTGCTGCTATGAACATAGTGGTGCTTATATTCTTTTTGTTTGTTGTTTCACGTTTCTTGGGATATATTCCTAATAGTGGGATTACTGAAGTTTCTTCAAACAAATTAAAAATTGAACTCCCATTTGACCCAGAAAAACCTCTGAAATATTGTAAATGGAATCCCAAGTGTGCTCATGAGCAGTACGTGCATCGCAGCCCTATTGGGAAATATGCTAGGGGTTACTGTCCTCTGAAGAGATAAAGCATCTGAAGAGGCGGTAACATATTTCCCTGAAAAATGTTCACCTGAAACCCACTTCTGATAGAGCTTGAAGCCGCTGCCTTCAGGGGGTTTCTACCAGCATAATGAGAAAGCCAAGTTGATAGCTGACTTAGGGCTGGGTCTGTTCTGGATCTTCCAGTCAGCATGGCTCCTATTAGCTTAACATCAGATGACCAGGTGAGCCTGATGGGGGCTGCTTTTCATAACTGGTTGTTCACATCTCTCTCTACATGCCCAAAGAGTCCTGAAAGCAATTTGGTAACTTGTTCACCTTCTGCTAGAAACACTTGCCAACACTTCTCTCTAATCATACTGATGTCAACTAGAATTCATCAGTGGTTGCTAATAGCAAAGTCAGGCAGCTCTGCTCAGGATGTGGAGGTGCCAAACTGTGAAAGGAGCCTTGCACTGGTCATGTTAAAATCCTTGTTGTAGTTCAAATGGCTGTGTTGCTGCTTCTGCCCTGGGTTCTCACAGCATCCCCACTCTGTCCCCACCCTGCCATGGGAAGTCAACTGAAGGTCCCTTTTTAGTGAACTGAAATCTAAGGGAAACTCTAAGTATTACATTACAGAGCATTAGTGTTCTTTGGAAATAGCTTTTGGTCCTTCTGTTTTTTATTTCCAAAGTGTCTGATATTTGAAATACTAGTATTTTTTTCTTTTTGCCTAACAAATAATACCTTTTTTCAAGATCCTATTAGATTTTCACTTTTTACATTTTTATCTTTACATGTTGTTGTAGTTACTCTGCTACCTAGAAAAACTTAGTTAGGATGGCTTACTGTCTGTATTTATTATTTGAAGAAGGAATAAGATTGCAGGGCTCAGGTTTTAGAATTTTAAAATTCTATGTGACACAATCACAAATTCAGGAATTAATAGTGCAAGGGAAGGTTGGACAAGTCCCTGTAAGGGACAGCACCATGTAATAGACTGCCCACATAATACTTGATATGAACTAAAAAATGAGAACAGTAGACATTTCGTTCTCTATACCTTATGTAAATGACTTGCAACCTATTGAGAAATGTTTGAGGCCTTTCCCCACATTAACTTATTAAATGTCCTCATATACACATGTACATGTATCTTTTTTAAAAATATATATTTTATTGATTTTTTACAGAGAGGAAGGG